GGGCAATGAATGTACAAATGTGTTTTACACAATTGATGTGTGTATGGATTGTGATAAGAGTTGTATGAGCCCCTAATAAAATGATTTTAAAAAAAAGAAAATGAAATGGGACATTTAATATCAATTACCCTCAACATGAAGGAGCTGCGATCGGCAGATTTTGGTCATTTGGAATATGACCTACTACACTAGGAAGAGCAAACAAAGAGAAATGCGTGTGACATTCATCAACACAAGGAATCTTTCAAGATCTTTTCTGAACTACAGTGCTTTCAGTGATAAAATAATATTCATGCACTTACAGGGAAGACTGATTAATACAATACTTATTCAAATCAATGCAGCAAGCAGTAATGCTACATTTCAATGCTACATTTAAACAGTTTTACCAACTTCTGTCATCTGAAATTGATCAAATATACAATCGAGATGCATTTGATAATTGGTGGTTGGAATGAAAGTGTCGGAAGGAAGCATGGCCGGTTAGAATATCTGACCATCTGAAAGAAACAGCAGCATCGATGGGATGTTAGGATTTTTCAAGACTAAAGATTCACTCATTGCAAATAGTTTTAATTTCAATGACATAAATGATACATAGACCTCACTGAGTGGAATACATAGGAATCAACTTAACCATATGAATAAAATAAAGTATATAAAACATAACAACACCATCCCAAATAAGGCCAGGGACAACAAGCTGAAGAAAATGAAAACAAGTCCTCAAGAGACAAAGGCTTGATATTCTGAGGCCATCTCAGTCTGACACTTTGAATACCAGTGACAGAAGACCATAGGATCGTGAGATAGTATCAAGGGTGTTATGTACGCAGAAAATATAGGCCACTAGAAATACAGGTAAGAATGAAAAGACCAAGTCGGGTTTCAGAAGCGACTCCGAAACTTGCTTTTAAACATAGAGCAGGTAAAGAACACAGAAGAACTGACTTAGTAAGGAACTCAAAAGAGATTTTCAAGTGCAAGTAAAATGCACAGCTTTCCAAGGTCATGACCTTTGGAAGCTGATCATCAGTCTGTTTTCTGAGACAGCTCCGGGTGAGTTCAAACTTTCAACCTTTGTATATTAGCTGGGTGTTCACCTACCTGTTTGCACCACTATAATCCTATTGGGGAAAAACATTCTAAAAATTTTCTTGGAAGAAAACAGATAAATGGCCACACGACATTTTATTGACTCACAGATTTATCAAATAAGCAGCCCCTTATTCTAAAATGGGGTTTCTCAACCTCTTATGCAATATTGGGCCTTATCATTCTATGTTGTGGGGAGCTGGGTGGCATGGAAGTTCATTCACTAGGAGCCAATAACAGACTCCCAGAGTGACAGTGAGCAATGTCCCTGGCTGAAAACCTCACCATTGCTCACATTACAAGAAAAATGAGTGACAATAAACGGTATTATTTTGTCAATGTTTACTAATCACTTCAATAATCATTTCACAGAATAGAGTGTCTAAAAGTTTGAACACAGAGTGCTCCAAAAATACGTACATAAAAACAAATAACAATGACCAGGAACCTTGATATGAGCCCTGGGTTATTTACTGTTGATGTATTTCACAAGGCAAAATCAGCTAATGCTGACACAGTTCACTGAAATTATTTTGAACACATAAATAAAGGTACTTCATATAACTACAGATATTATAGTAAATGTGATAAAACAGTATTTATCACACCAACACTTTTCCATTGCATTCATTCTTTAATTAGCAACGTGAGTAAATATTTTAACACAGTTTATCACAGAATGTTAGCTTTATGTTTGGAAACATTTTCCTAATATTTGTGTAATTTAGTGAAAACTCAGGTCTTTTAATGATGCTAATGGAATGGGAATAATTCCTCATACATCGCATAACTAATTTTTTATCGAGTAAAACTGAAATCAATTTCAGATTGCGATTAGTGGAAGTAGCAAATTCAGTAAACTTCACTGGGATCATTATCATTATTATATTGAGAGTAATAATGCATTGATCCAACAATCGCTATCATTACTTTTCTTATTGTCCTGAATCCTTTCTGTGAGCAGGATAAGGAAAAAAAGCAAGGAAAAAGAGCTTACTGTGCTGTGCTCGTCCTATATGATCCACCACGAATATAAATGATATACACTCAGTACGGTACATTGTGAGGTTTTCAGGCCCTAGGGTCCAGGGTATGGCCTACCACCTCCTTCACAGGGAAACAAATTACTCAGTGCGTCCTTGGCAATTAAAAACTGTTGTACTACAGTCCACACTCAAACATAGCTATCTAGTTTTGTAGGCCCCTCATCTCCACATAATTTCTGCGCACCCCCACCCCCACTAGGTGGTATTGCCCACTTTGGGCAAAAAGACTCTAGAGCTTGTAGAAATCTTGGGGCACTGAACTAAAAGAAAGAGGTAGTCTATTAAAGCATGAATTACACATTTCGTCACAATCAAGCACAATCTACACATTGATTAGGGTTACATTCTCTGAACTGTAATTCCCAAGGCATTATCAAGTAGATGACATATATTTATCATGTGGCATCCTACCTTGGTCTTACTGTCGAAACAGGTGAATCCCAAAGCGAAATCCACTGTGAAACACAGCATCTCTCCTTGCCAGCTGCACATATATGTTTTGGACTAGAAAAAAGTACCAATTTTGAGAAACCATTCTTTAATAATGCTATTTATTGTTAATTAAGCATTTTCAAGATTTTTCTCTTATGACTAAAACATCTCTTAGAAATAATATAAATAATATGTATTGAAACAGGAACATTAAAAAAACAACCACCCCAAAACAGGAATACCAATGCCACATGAAACCTTCATCAACACTTTGTTTAGAGATCATTCTTTCTCGTGTTTTGTATGAACGAAACTATTTTCACATTGAAAAGTGTTAGATAATTATAGGGAACACTCTAACTAAAAACAAATGAACACAACCAAGAGTTAGCATATCTTTGTTTTCCAAAATAACTTGAAAATAATTTTCAGTTTGCTGACTCATGAAAATAGAATCTTTTGAATAAACTAGTTATTTTACTTTTCTCCTATGAGAGATCTCAGGATGAAATGCCCCGGTGAATGCAGGGAGGAGGCGGTGATGCTCCAGTGTTATCTGGATATAACCCGTGGGAAGCATCCTGAAGAAAGTACAATGTTGAGCACCATCGAAGTGACACACGGCAACCATGGCCTTGCCAGAGCTACAGACACGACATCAATTTATCCTGGGGTCCAAGTATCTCTTACTGGCTCCACGACAGAAATTTCTTCCCTGGCTTTTTGATTATTGTTGGTGGTCGTTTCCTGCTGTGCATCATTAGTATTTTTGTCTGTATACTATTATGCTTTTAACCTACCACCTTAGCGCAATTTTGTTTTGTTTTTTATTGTTTTCTGTTGGGTCTCCCAGCTGTGAAGCCCAAGAGGAGTGGATGCACAATGATAAAAACTGATACAAGAGGATATGGGAAACACAGGGTTGGGGTGGGGGGAAGCGAGGGAGGGAAAGGGGATTTGGGGAGTAACTAATGAAAATGGGAGGGGGAGGGAGCCCTAGAAAGGATTGTGATTGGATAGATCATCTTAAAGGCGATTTCACTGTGGGGGAGGGGTTACTCTAAAATTGATCTGTGGCTGATTGTACAATTCTCTGTGATATGAGTGAATGATTGAACTATGGAATAATATGATAGGTAAGGTACTGGCCAATAAAACTGCTGAAAAAAACAACTTAAACAGTGAGGATGCTGCTGCAACAATAGCGTGTTGCTTCTTCCACACATCTTATAGATCCTTCGCTTTGGCTGAGATTGCTACCAATTACTGAGAAGCCATGTAGCTAGAATAGCTATCTACTCCAAGATCACGAGGTCGCTGTGGCAAGAGGCCTTGAATACTAAGACTTCTAGTCACTTTTCATAAAAACACCGAAAAGCAGCAATTTTTTTGCTTTACATATTTTCACAGCACTCTAAACAAAAAATATAAATGAGAACACTAACATGTTGGTAAAATTATTTCTAAAAATCATCTATTAATAAACTAAATTTTCTCATGCAGTATGGAATCTGAAGGCATCAATTTCAGTAAAGAAAAAACCATAATTTTTGAACACTTAATATGAACTGACAGCAGCGACATTACGTGCTAGGTGATTAATGGACAGCATCTCTCTAAATCTACACATTGCTCTTACTTTGTGGACAAGGAACTGGTGGGTCATACATATATAACAACTTGTTCACATGAGTGGTAGTTAATTAAGATAGCCCTTCTAACGATAATTCCTTATGTAAAGTATAATAATGTTGGAATCCATGCCTGTGGCTATAATCTCACTTCAAATGGAGTTCTGGGTTATCCTGATGGGCAGGATTCAGGTGGGTTCAAGTCCTGACATTGTTTTCTTGGAGGTAACTCTGCTGAAAGACAAAAATCAGACCTCCATCACAGCCGTTCCTCAGGGTGGAAGAGCATCTCAGACACAGAGAAGTTCTAGCCTATCGGAAGAAGAGCACATTGCCCACCTCGCTGTGAAATGGCAAGAGCTGAAACCAGAGGCACCAGGGACTGTGGCACAGGGACTAAGGGACAGAACAAAGGAGCCAGGCTGAGACCAAAGGCTGAAGCAAGCACCAGGGGCACAAAAGAGGAGAGGCCTGGAATCAGAACTGTGATGCAGAGTCAGGGGCTGACTGCCTGGTCCACAGCCAAGGGGCCATGTGGGGAAGGGGCTGGGGAATAGAGACATGGCTGCTGCCTACAGAGAGGAGGTGCTGGGGACCACTGGCTGTATCCTTAGTGCTTTCTGATCCTGGCCAGTGGTCACCTGTTACAGTCCTTAATAACTCCCACTCTGCCTTAATCATGAGTATTGTCTCTGAATTCTGTGTGGATATTAAAACAAGTTATCAAACCCAGCAAAGTAGAGTATTGTGAGAAGGAAGGTTGGTGTCAGAATAGGTAAAGAAGTATGGAGAATGGAGGTATGTCTGGCCTCTACCACATGGCAAGAGGAAAGTCCGAGGATGTCAGATACGGCCTCTGAGTCGTTTGAGACATCACACATCTAACTGGTGGCAAAGACAGGAGGACTTTGATTCTGTAGGACGGTGTCATGGGGTTGAGAAAAACAAAGGTGCGAGCAGAGTTTTTGATGCAATAAATAAATGTGTAATTGTTTATCACAGACTAGTAAATGAGCACAAGTAAACCCATGCTTCCCTTGCTGTCAGTAATTCCTAGAGGTTGTTATCCACATGCAATGCTAACCTCTTAGACAGAGAAGGAAAGCAGCCCGCAGGCCCAAGGGATAAAACACTCTATTCAGTTTCAAACTCCTCTGCATTTGCTGTCTTTTCACATAACCTAGCTCCTCAATCATTTTGTAATCACATATCTTGTATGAGCACCCAGAGGATTCTCTATCAATAGCATTCAAATGGCAAGTGTTCATTTAAACTATTAACTATTAGTGTTTAGGTGATAAGGGATGCAAAAATGTTTTTCAAACAACAATTGGAACAAAACAAAACAGTAGTTGCTCATCTTTGCGAAAATTTTTGTTCCTGACCATGGTTCAGAGTTCAAGAAATATTGTGATTAGAACAATTAGTGAAGCATTCTTGGTGGAAACTTATCTTTTAACGGTATTAGAAAGACCACAAAAATAATTTTTTTCCATTCACTGCTGTAACCCTGCCCCCAGCTGGCCCCAGCCCCAACATAATTTTTTGCACACTTTGAGTTTGGAAACTACTTAATTTTTAGAATGTCAATCTAGTGATTATAAAATATGAAATAAAAGCATTCTAAAGATAAGTGCAATATTTACTAGATTAAAAAACTAGCATTATCAGATGTATAGAAATTATAAACATCAATTTATGTCCCTTGCTAGCAGTTCATACACACATTAACACATACATATAATGGTTTAGTACTTATATCCATCTATCTTTGGGGAACAAGAAAAATTATACAGAAAGATTTTATGCTGCATATTATACATTTGCATAATCTTGAAAGGGACTTAGCATAGATGGAAACGAAGAGAAAAAGCTTCAGTTTAAGGTATCTAATTGTTACCACATATTAGAATAATCTCATAATGGAGTCATATTACAGCAGTTGATAAACACATATTTTTCAAATTAGTGAACACCTAAGACAAAGTAGGTATTTTTAAACTCTCCTTATTCTTACTCTCCATTGCCCGTTGCTGCCTTTGGGAGAACTCAGATAGGCAAGGCATCCTAATTTCTTTGGGACATGTTTCCTTTTCTGTCGGCTTCACCTCTCATCGACTGTCTCTGCAGTTTCTGTTTATATATTTTGGGTAGTCCATTTCTCCCCCAAAGTGCCCTTATAGATCATTCAAGAAATTATAACTTTAGTAATTAAAAAATTATTTGTATCTTTCCAAATGTTTTCCAAAATTGTATTTGGCTTACATGTAGGAGAGAATGCTCATTCAACTAACATGGGCGAATCTTTTGGAAATTGCCTAAGACACTGAGGCTAGAGGAGTTATTTACTGGAATACTAAAAATTAATGTTTTTATGATAGTCAAGCTACTTAATGGGTTGTGAAGATGGCTTATCTTCTTTATCTCTTTATTCTTAGCATGTTGCACAATGACCCACAGGAAAATATTCACTAGTTGACCACAACTGTAGGTACACAATAAATCTTTCTAAATACATGTATGGGGCTCAGGAAAAACATTCTTAGTATCTGCTTTTAAATTAAACAGAATGTATTGTATTTTTCCAGATATTGTCAGAAAATTTTATATGAAGAGATACTGTTAGTAAAATATTAAGATTGCAATGCCTTTGAAGCTCAGTTTTTGAAACAAAACAATCCAGGAGCACTAGTACAGAACAATCACTTTTAAAGGAAATTGTCAAAGAACTAAGGCTCATAATCACCTAGGGCATTAAAAATAAATGTAGAAACAAATACACAGATACCAACAACATTTTTTTTCTTTTCTATGCTTTGAACACTAAGAGCAAAGATGAGACAATTCTATACTTTAAGAAATTTCCATACTTTAAGAAATGACATATAGAAATAACTCCTTCTGATTTGTTTGGATAAAAGAGTAACAAGAGAGATCCTCATCACCTTGCATTAGTGTGTAATGCCGTGCACATTGCTGTAATGCTAGAAGAGAAATCTAATGTGTGAAGTGACCTTAAATTATAAACAATAAAACAACATAAAAATCATCCATTAAATGTGAGATAATGGTTAGTATACATGTAGCTGACTTGACTCAATTTTAAGTCTCAATAAACTCTAATCTATGTTTCATATGGGAAAGCAGATGTCAAATCTCTATCCTGTTTTAACCCCCTGGCATATTGCACAAATGTAATGTGTTCACAAATCAAATTGGTTTCAGAGCAAATACATGTATTAGTTTTTACCGTGTGCCTTGCATTGTAAAGGCAAACATGTTACCATACTGACCTCAACTAAAAAGATGCCTAGTTTCATGGGCCTGGTAGTCTACTTAGGGAGACAAACTTTGGAAAACTTGATCAATATCTATAAATAAGTGCTATGCAGGAGATAACATGGGACTGCTAACTGCAAGGTTAACTGCAAGGTCGAGGCG